GTATTGCATGGGGTACACTCCATCATGATATAAATGGAAACTGAGATGTCAGTTTGAATTACATTACAGAGAGAAAAGGAAAATAAAAAATGTGCAGTCACAAGATACTGAGTTAAAGGTAAATATATATTTACTTTTAGAGTAGCACATTACTAACTAAAATATGTTTAAAATTGGAATAAAAAAAATTCTAAATAACTTTCTTTGCTAATTTTTCTGCTACTTACAGTTTTCAAATGACTTATGGGAGTATTTAGTAAAGTGTAAATAGTCAGCAGTTCAGAATTAATTTAACATTTTAGGCCAACATTTTCTCCACATAAGACATTTCTTCAGTTTGGATATATTGGTCTAGGTTCTGAAATTCACCTTAAATTCACACTGAATGCCTGACAATACACAGTATAAAAAATCTATTACATTCATAGATTGATAATACAATCTGCTTATAAATCAGCACTTTGTTATGCCTACTGCATGGTTTCTGTAAAACCAGTAGTATTTGCTTTTATTTACAAATCTAAACAGCAACTGCCATCGCTATATAAATTTAAGAAAGAAAGAAAGAAAGAAAGAAAGAAAGAAAAAAAAAAAGGCAGAGCATTCAGCATTGACTGGACTACACTGGGGTTTAAATGGTTTGTAAGTGGTTTAACCCCTAATGTAAGACAGTGCCCAGGTCCTCCAGCCTAAGCTAAAGGTTATAGTGGCACCTGAAACAATGCTAGTAACAAAAATCCCACCTGGGATATAGTAGACATTCACCCACCCTCCCTCAATGTATGTTGGCAGCTATTTGCTGAAGGATTGTTATAGACAGCTAGAGCTGATGTGTATTTATGACCTGAACCATAACCTCCATACAGATGGTATTTACTGGATACTGTGACTTTAAACAAGTACTGAATCGGTTCCCCCAGCTTCCATAGGAGTAGCTCTGCTACAGATTGTATGCTGCTCATTATGGTATTTAAACCACAATGATGAAATATTAATGCTGTCAGTAATCTCAATCACTGGAGTTAAACCAGGGCCCAGGAGTCTATACAAGTAACTGCCTAAATTGTGAAATTGGGAATCTCAAACAACCAAAGTATTGTAACTGTAGCAACAGATTATTTACCCTGAAATGGGAGTATTCCAGCAGGGAACAAACAATAAAAATAAAAAAAAACAATGCTCTGCTTGAAACACAGGTAACAAATTTTCCCGCTTAACAATTTTGCCCAGTGTATTATTTTTCTGATTAGAATACATCTTATGGGGTAATGATTTACTAAACAGCAAAATTAAAACCAAAATTTAGTCCAAAACTAAAGTAGGATAATATTCCCTAACTCAACTAACTTTACACAGCTTGGCTGTTTTGAACTAAATTAGGTTTATTTTTTTTAATTAAAAGGTTTAATGCATACTGTAATGTAGCTCCCTGTACCCCTAGCGGGGTACCTCCACCAAGGACCCCGTCCTAGCTGGAACAGGGGACAAACCGCAGCACTTCTTCCCACATACGCAGTGGCTTGACTGGGGCCCTGGAACCACTCCTTCCTGGAGCCGAATGGGGAATTAGCTCTAGTCCTTACAAGGACTTTCCCTGTTGAATCCCCTGCAAGCTGGAACAGCCTCCAATAACAGGACAGCACACAGTTTTGGAGTGTAAGCTGGAATAGATTTTAATGGAGGCACACTGGCCTTTTATGCAAGATGGACCTTGTTGGGCACAGAGACACAAAGTGAACAAACCAATAAAAAACAGTCACATAGTGAGACACTCCCATACACAAACAATAGAATCCCTCCTCTGTGCTTAGGAGATAATTGAATCAGGAACTGTACTAATCTAACCCAATTATCTACAAGCACAGAAAACATCATAACATTTTATAAAACCCCCAAAAAGTACCTTAAAAACATACTAAACCCCATAAAAGTTACATCCCCTGATAGCCCCGATCTGGGTGAGCAACATATCCAAAAATCACCCAGATCGGTTCAGGAATTTCCTGGAAGTCAGTTTTGACTGACTGCAAGCATGGCCCCATGCCCAAAACAGCTCCAGGGAAATCAGTGCTAACAGTCTGTCACGTTCGGTAGTCTTTTACAGGTTTCCCTGCAGGGCCCATAGTCTGGGCAGGAGGCTGGCAAGCAGGCTTCACCAGGAGCTCGTGGCAAACTTGCGTAAAAAGGGTAGTTTGCCACAAATACACCCTAAAATGTAGAGGATGAAGATCCCAGTCAAAGTGGGCCAGGGGGACTACACAAGAGCAAGGCTTTAAATACTGGCCTGAAACAGGACCTGACATTTGCAGCAGTTAGCAATAACATACATGATCATACACATTCTTAGAACAGCTGTCACCTTCTGGGTTCTTGGAATATTTTGTTAGAGACCCCCACTAGTGATTTTGCCACTTGCAGTACAGGTGAATGGGGATGTAGGGGACGGTGTTTTACTTTCCTGATAGTGACCCTCACTGTTGCCGCCATGAGCATTCAGTTGATCTTCAGCTACTGGCGCTTCATCTGTCATAAGCCCACATCAGTACAGTACTCGCGCATGTGCAAGACCACAACACTGATGTCTATGGAAGATCCCGCAAGACCCTTCCATAGACAATGTTTTATTTTTTTCCTCACAGCGGTCACTAGTGATGGCAGTAGCTGTAACACTTGTTATGCACTTGAAAGATGCACAAGACAGAACACGTTGCAATACATACATAAGGGTTTATAAAAGGTATCTGGAAAAGCTTATTATGTTTATAGCTAGTAAAGGTCCTAGTTTGAGAAGGGAAAAGTTCATATTTGGAAATCAAGCTCCTACCTCTCTCTTCTATCCCAGCATTACTCATTTCTAGTAGTGCTGAATGTCTATTCTATTAGAGAGACAAACTCCCCTCACCCCCGCCCCCCCGCAACCAAAAAAAAAAAAAAGTCTGCAGAAACAAAGCTAAAGTAATTTATTTCTAAAACATGTATGAAATAATGCTTAGTGTGCTGGTGTTCAGTCATACTGGCATCATGTACACTGTAGACCAGTAACTATCAATCTCTCCGTTGGCAGCATTTTTCCATTCAAGAGTTTCAGATTTCGGGACATTAAAGTAGTCATACCACTTCATCTCAATGAAGTGGTCTAGGTACAGGAGCCTTCAGTGAAAACTGTCTGTTTTGTCTTCATAAACAGCCTCTAGAAGTGCTTCCACATTGCAGGAGGATGTCAAAATGCAGAGAAGCAATGGATTCAATGCTTCCATAAGAGAAGCATTTGATTGGATGCACACAGTCCACGGATATTTAATTCTCAATGCTTCCCTATGATAAGCATTGGATAATCAAGAATGAATTTGCAAGAAGGGAAGCGAGCTTTGATGGGAGAGCCTAAAATTAAATAAAACACATCATGCAGAATAACCACTCAAGTAGTTTGCCAAATTACTTGGAAAGTACTGAGACTGACTCACTTCTTCCACTGAGAATTGGAATCCCCTGTACAGAGTTTGTTTGCGCTCGTGAGATAAACCATACCGTGGAGGGGCACTCCATGGCCGAAAGCAGTCAGCTGACCCTCTCAGCCTTGCTCTTTTTGGGCTAAGCTAAATTTTGAGAAATTCCATTCGTAATGGAGATGGTTGCCAGATCCTGACAGGATCCTGTTTGCACCATAACCACTATATGGTCCTCTAATGGTTATGATGCTTGAAAGGTTTCCTTAACACTTTTCATAAAAGAAATGTATGCATTGCTCATGCTTTCACCACACAAAGGTTTAAAAAAAAAAAAAAAACACAATTATTTTAAAGGGACACTTACAGCACCAATCCCAAAATAATCACTGCTTAGTAGATACACCCCTAATGAAACATGCATGCAAATATGCATATTTCATTGCAGGTATATCTAAAAGCCTTCCTCATGTAAGCACATACTTTGTGTCGATCTAATCACAGACTTCCCAATGCAGCTCAATAGATGTCTTTCAAGGCAGGTGGTCTGGACAATTGCTGCCTCTTAAATTTAGACCCACTAAGCTTAACAAACCAAGAAATATAACAGGACGGGTTATCACACAGCCAGGGGGATGCAACAAGGTTCCTTTATAAAAGTGCCCCAATTTCTATTGAAATCTTAATAAAATTAAAAATAGAGGAAACACTTCACAGATAAAGCACTTGAATAAGTGCAGGTCATGAACAATCTTTAGCAAATACATTGAGAAACAAACTGCTACTTTTAATAGTTACATTTTGTAACAGAATACTTTATTTGTAATGTACACTACAGCATAATAAGATAGAGAAATTCTTTTGGAAATATAAAAATGCATATATTAAAGTGTATAGAAAAGCAGAACTTTAACAGGATACAAATGATATCCACTGAGAGTGTTTTCAAATACTTTCTGTTCCATTATAAACTTTACTGTCGGGGTTTGTTTAATTTAGCTGTAAAATTTAAATATGCGTTTGTAAATTAGGGTAGCTGTCCAACTGCTGTAAAACTACAACTGCAATAACGGTCATCAACACTTTGGTAGCTTTGTCAGAGATTAATATCTATAACAGTGAACAGCGACCCGATGTCTAACCCAGGTATATGTACAGGGAAAAAATGCAGTTTATATTTTATGCATCCATAACGTGGAAATCTAACATAGTCTCCACAATATTATGTTAACTTCCCATGAACAATCAAAAAAAGTATAAAAAAACATAAGTGGGGCAAAAAAAAAAAAATTCAATAAAAACAGACAGAGCCCCTTGTAAACTTGGGTACATACATCTGAGGGAAGGAGAGGATTAAAAAAAAAAAACCACAACAACCAATAAAAACTCCAAAACCAGGTAACACAAAAGTTAACGGATTTGCTACGTTGAATTGGCTTCAGCATTCTTGAGGTCACTTCTGTTCAAACAAAGTCTTGAAACGTTGACTGTGGCAGCATTGAATAATGACTAATGGCCTCTGGCACACATGCTTCCTTTCTATTAATCAACACCTCAACTTAGATGTCTGTTTCGGATTACTGCCCCTCCTTCAACCTCAATTTGTTCATAGAGCCATTTGCGGTCACATCTGCATTCTATGCCGCACTTGTTAGAGCCACACTTTTTGCATGCATAGAAGCATCCCAGGCATTCCTCGTCCAAACAATCACAGAGGTCCATTCCACTGGAGATAAGAACTCCAGCCTGGTCATAGATTTTATTCTTTGACGGCAAGATTTGCCTGCAAATCACAGAGAGAGAGAGAGAGAAAATAAATATTTAAAAAATTTTTTTTCGATATGCATGTACAATGTACAGAAAAGTTCAGCTGGTGCACTACTTCTCAATTTGAAGACACTTTCTTGGAGCACACAATAAAAGTAATAGCACTTCAGTATTAATAAAGACAACCTTTGCACTCTTTAGCACCCTTTCATTATAAGTTATGCACAGGCACTTTTAAAATTGCACTTATACTTTGTGACCAATTGTTCTATATTTATATGTATTTTTATGGGAAATGTACCCCCGTTGTAGGACTTTGTGTAGTATATTAATATATCGGACTTGAAAGAACTTCCGAGGTGGAACGCACACGTTATACGTCGTGCGTTCTAATTACATCAATTTTGCACCCACGTGGTATCTACAATCCGGAAGTGAAACTCTATGGCGCCTGGAACTGAACGTATCATACGTTCCACGGATTATAGCAAAACCCGGAAATACCCACACTAATAAATATAAAAAGACACAGAGGAAGACTGAACACTTAATGCCGACTGAGGAAGCCCCTGGTACTGGGCAAAACGCGTTTCGGATTTTAACAGACATTTCCAAAAATACTGGATTGAAGTAGACTGTGGACTTATATTTTGTTGCAGTCTATTCTTTTTTGTGTGTTATTTACTTTATTATTGGATCAATAAATACTTTATGAAGAAAGTAAGTGTGGCAAGCTGCATTTTATCCTACTGCATCAGATTCACCACAAGAAGATCCTAAAGAAGGAGAGTGACATCCTACACAATGGTCCCAATGCTGTTCCCATGACAGCCATATGTTTATATTTGGCTCCTGGTTTGTGAGTACCTGATCCTCTTTCTTATTTTCTTTTATATATCTATTGACAATATTACACTATATTGTTCTAAATTTTTTGTAGATGCCTCAAGGAGTGTGATTCACCTACTGTATGCATTGCATTTTTAAATATTAAATAAAGCCTAACACAAAATTATGTACACTTTTCCCCTTTAGCAATGGGCTGATCAAGAACTGATCTTTAGAGGTATACTGTAAGAAATGGTTACACCCGGAACCCAATAGAAGTGTTCTTACACCCTACCGTTCACATAACAGTCACGTTTTGGCTGCGCAGTATTGGAAGGCGACATTTCTGTATTTACAATTTCCTGCATATGCTGCATATCTCTGCAAGTTGAGAGAGTGTAGAGATACAGTATGGGATGAACAGATAGATGGTAAACAAAAGCAAACCAGAATATTAACTAAAAAGGGTAACAAATTCAATGAGAATTTGGGCTGCAACATACATGTGGTGAGCGACTTGGTATCTAAAATACAAATACTGGAATATATATGTGCGCTCCACAGATAAAAAATGCCAACAGTTCGATGTAATAGTACACTAAATATAATAATGGTGAATATAGAAAAAGGCAGGACCAAAATTCCAACAATCAAAAATGTATTGAGAGTTGATTTATTTCTTAACCCAACATCAATTCTATCCAAAACCTTTTCACAATTCTGACCACAAGGATAAGAATGTATATAAAACTTCCCAAAATTGGCTTGCTACAATATCTGATATAAAAAGCAGGTTCAATCCTCCACTAGTCCCAATTCCAGATGTGCTGAATACAGTGAAATTATTCCCTTTGTGTAGAGTTTCCCAATATAATGGATGCAACCAGTTGTATTGGGTAAAAGCAACAATCTGAACTTTATGAGGCCACACTTTGCTTCTTATGCAGTGCCCCTAGCATGGGGTTTCTAATACAAAATCAAAGGGGTTTCCTTCCCACAAGCCATTGTGTGTGTGTGAGAGAGACAGTTGAGCTCTAATTAAGCTAATCCAATTATCTCTCAAATAGGAAAATGTA